TAAAATTAACTGAATCAATTTGGAATGTAATCAATATATTTATAAGATGTGCGCCCTCTATCCACCATTCACACCACCTTGGGGACCCAGGTTCCTGAAAAATTGATCAACAATTTCCTGAAGCCCTCGGATATGTAGACCGAGAAACCCCCAGACTCTTCAAATATTTAACAGATCACCGGAAACTTTCACAGGTGGTTCAATTCATTTTTCTCGAAACGATTGTCCGAGTGAAATTACATTTATATATAATATCACGAACAAAAATGAAACAAGAAACTTATGACAGGTGAAGGATGAGTTCAGTTTTTATCGTCTTGCTTCGTTTATTATTGGTGTTTTTATCAAGTGGAATGAATAAATAATCAATACATATTGGAATAACAATTTTTGGTAGAAACAATTGCTCGAGATAGAATGAAATTTGTGACATGTGACAGATGATTTCAATTTTGACATCTGTTTTAGTATTTATTGGTGCGTTTATCAAATCGAAAAAATAAAAATATTACGTGAATTGAATTGAATTTATTGAAATTATTTCTAAGATTTTAGTAACACTTTCCTTAATTTACAAAATACACAGAACGTTTTAACAAAAACGTCTAGTGTATTTCTTCCGCTATTTAAAAAAAAAAACGAGATCTTTAAGTGGACAATTATTATCAAGATTATATCCAAATTATTAAATTGAACATGACTGCGATTATGAAAACAGCGGTGAAGAAGAAAATTAAGCCATAGCTTCTTGCTTTGAAAAAATCAATTTATAATTTTCTTCAAGAACCTGAGTAGTACACAGGAAAGAAGAAATAATTTAGATTCATTATTTGGCAGCAAGTTTTTTTATTTCTGGAAATTTCGTATAAACAATAGATCTGTAGACATTATTTTTAATTATATAAAGAAAATAAGGTTTTAAAAATTTTTTTTTCTATTTTTTTTTGTGAAAATTCTGAAACCGGTTTTGTAGAAAAGTGGAGATTCGAAAACCGGTTTACTAAAAGTCGGTTTTTGTATAGGCTCTAGAAAATACATAATAAATATACAGAAACTAATAAAATGTGACAGTTAATTGCAGTTTTGACATCTAACTTCGTTTGTTTGTTATTCTTAAACGATTATCCAAGTTAAATTCCTATAACAAGAAAGAAAGAAATTTGTGACATGTGTCAGATTTTGATTCATATTGGAATAACAATATTTTGTAGAAACAATAATCTGATAGAAAATACAGAAACTTATGGAATATTTATTTCATATTCATATTCGAATAACATTTTTTTTTCATGAAACGATTGTTCAATATAAATTGTAGGACAATATAAAAAAAAACTTGTGGCAGGTGTCGAATAATTTCAATTCTGACGTTATTATTATTATTGATGTGTGTATAGCAACGAATCGAATGAATAAAAATCAATTCATATTCGAATAACAATTGAAACTGAAAACAAAACTTTGTTGTTGTATTTCCATGTTTCAATGATCGCGATTTGTGCCAATTAAAAAAAAAATAACGCTAACATACAGTTGTATGGAAAATATCGGTTAGGCTTTGTTTTTAATATCAATTAAAAGGTTCGGCCTCCGCCGTTACGAGAATTTATAAAAAACAAATCAGAACTTTTTTTTTTCCACCCACCTATTTTTTTCCCTCTGTGTTTATCACACAACAATATAATAATGTATTTACGTGCGTTGCGACAATGAACATTACATGGAAACACACGGGAGGGTTGGTGGCTATTTATAACGGAACGCGCATACTAATTTCCACTATGTAAGTTATTAACTAACAAACGCGCTCAGGAACGCAATTATTAGCTTAGCGCTTATAGATTAATAAAATTGCTCGATCGATGATACTGTTCATCATTAGTGGTAGATAATGCGATAAGGCATTTGCCGAAGACAAATATTAAACCGACGACTAAAACCATCATCATCTATACTAAACCATAGCTGATTGCATCTGAGAAAAAGGTAATCAATATAAAATGACATGCATTTAATGCATCTTATCTTAGATAATTAAATTAATGAAACATTACTAATCGCTATAATCTTAAGTATCTTAAAATATAATAAAATAGGGAGAAACTTTAAATCATTTTTATTATTTCTTTATCGTTAAAACAATGCCTAGTAGATGAGAATCAGGAAAGATCTATAGATCGAGATTTTCACTGCATTTTTAATTGAGCTAATCTTTTTATACGTATTTTTTTTTTTCAATTTTCTCTACACGGTCGACCTTGATTTAATCGTTAGCGGGAAGCCAAGATTTAGGTCAGACGATTAAATTAGCCTAAATAATTATACTCGGGTTCAGAGGTTCTCAACTTTTTTTTTTAAACTTCTTTATACACATTCGAAATTTACGATTAGCCCTAAAAATGTGTGATCAAATTTTGATAAAATTACATTGAATTTATTTTATTTCATAAAAAAATATGTGCGTCTAGAGATAATGCAAGCATTTTACACTATTGATAACATCTACAACTTGAATTTGTTGTATTTATAATATATCTTGATCTATCCTATACTTATCTGTTATATAAACTATATATGATTCACGATCGAAAGTACAAAAAAAAAAATGTTTAAATTGGAAAAACTAAATTCAATCATTTTTTTTTGATATTTCTTCCGTTAAATTTTATTGAAATTATTATTATTTTCGAATATATTATAATAAACTAAAACCAATAATTACTCAAATGCTTTTCAAAATGTAAATTCTGTTGAAAATCTATTTAGTCACAGTTTGCATCTTTTTAATAATTTAAATACAAATTTAATTTTTGTATAGGAATACCTCGCATAGTGCGGGTAATGGCTTCTGCCAGTCATAACACGTTTTAGAATTTGCTTTGAAATTTTTAAGCCGTACTATAGTGAGCTATTATCAATCTTAGATTGAAACTGCAATGAATCTTAAAGAAATTGTATCCAAGATATTCGTCTAAATTTATCATCTTTACAAAGATTTTTTTTTTAAATTATTTTTTCAAAAAGTATAGAATAATTAATAACTCGGAAAATTTAAAGACATTTTTATAATATTTCTATAATTAAAATTACTTATAATTATACTTCAAACATATTTGTTGTAAGTTTCTAGATGTTCGAATTATTCATTAGTTATATGGTATTGATTATGGCTCATTGAAGACTATCATTAGTTGCTTTGTCAATGAGAACGTAATCGATATGCATGCAGTATTATCATATGTAATTTTATGTAATTGATATTATTAATTAAATAATTAATTTACTTTATTACATTTTATATCTGTTGAATAAACAAAGATAAATATTATTAATTATGATAAGTGATGATGTAAATGTGGCTAGAATTAGAATGATTTAAATATATTAAGAAATACGTGGATGAGTACTTCACAATTTAGGGCGAAAGAGTGTTGTTTTTCGTTTGATAAAAATAACTAAGTAATTGAATCGTTAACTGATAAAAACGTGACCCTGTCATGAGCCGCCAATTACATAGTTAATAAGGTCGTGATTATTAATGGAATATTAATATGCTAAACACGAGATAGTTTAACTTGTATAATATTTATGGTCGGCTTATTGTTTCCATAGAAGCCAGCACAGTGTTAAAGCGTACAACAATACACGAGTATGACAGTGATAGATATCTTGTCCAATCCATTATTCATGCCATTTTTCTGGAGCGTTTGAGTTTGCTTTTATCTCAAGCTAAACATGTGAGTGAATGCTGCTATTGCTGGAAGAGATTAGTGAGAATTGTTAAATTGTGAATTTTTGTTTTTTATAAGTACGTTTAAGTGAGTAATTTCGGTGTTTCTTCAAAAATATATTGAAAATATGAAGTTTAAGTTGTGGTGATTTGTTTATCTTTCGAGATATACATGTAAGTAAGTGATAATGTTACGATTACAACAATTGATTCATGTTAAAGTTTGCTTACAATATTTCGACTTACTAATTTCTTCAATAGATTTTTGAAAATATGAAGATAAATTTATTGATATTTCTTTAAAATATTACGAGTTACATATGTAAGCAATTACATAGTTAATAAGGTCGTGATTATTAATGGAATATTAATATGCTAAACACGAGATAGTTTAACTTGTATAATATTTATGGTCGGCTTATTGTTTCCATAGGAGCCAGCACAGTGTTAAAGCGTACAACAATACACGAGTATGACAGTGATAGATATCTTGTCCAATCCATTATTCATGCCATTTTTCTGGAGCGTTTGAGTTTGCTTTTATCTCAAGCTAAACATGTGAGTGAATGATGCTATTACTGGAAGAGATTAGTGAGAATTGTTAAATTGTGAATTTTTGTTTTTAATAAGTACGTTTAAGTAAGTAATTTCGGTGTTTCTTCAAAAATATATTGAAAATATGAAGTTTAAGTTATAGTGATTTGTTTATCTTTCGAGATATACATGTAAGTAAGTGATAATGTTACGATTACAACAATTGATTAATGTTGAAGTTTGCTTACAATATTTCGACTTACTAATTTCTTCAATAGATTGTTGAAAATATGAAGATAAATTTATTGATATTTCTTTAAAATATTACGAGTTACACAAGTAAGCGATTAACGAAGATGTTAAGTTAAAGTTTTGGCGATTTGAATATACTATTATTATTATTAGGTTGGTAGAAACATCAACACAAAATGTGATATGTTTACGTTTAACAGGTATTATTGTTATGTGTATGTTAAATTGGAGTTAACCCAACAATGAGAATAAATGGCCTTAGTATATTAAAAGATTCTTCGGGGAATCGTGGAAAGTGAATGGGTTCGTACTTGGAATAAGGCCAGTTAGATAAAACGCGCGGTATCATCATCCAGCGAAGTATTTCGGGCCTATTGTTTAGACAAACTTTATGTGGTTGGTTTCCTTTTTTTCTCTCCCTGTTGGTGTTTCATGTGTAAATAAATAAGTTTAACAGTTTTTAAACGTTTTGGTTTCTTTTCAGGTGGATAATTGGTCGGATAATGAAGCGCTGAGACACCCTTCGCAGGCTTTCGGCCAGCAGAAGCCGATGTACCGGAGATCGTTTTCAGAGCTTCCGCAGACCCAGAATCTGAACACTCCGAACCTGAACAGAAGATCTTTGGGTGCAGAGATCCTGCACGCATTTCCGAAATCCAGTACTTCTATGACAGACATCCAAGCACAAAACTCAATACGTGATAACCGGTAAACAGAAACACAATACGTTTATTTATAACTCGCGCAGATAAGAAAAAAATATCAGCCATATTTAGACGCATCAATACGTTTTATTTCGATTATTATATAATTCGTAGCAGCACTTGTATTTGGTTTGTGGTCGAGGTTGGTGGTTTTTTTTTTGTAGCATGTTTTCCTGTTTCTGTTTTGCAGTTTCGGTAGTTTGAATAGATCGGTGAGTGATATTAGTGGTTGTGAGGGTGGTGCGATGGCTGATACCGTCTACACGTACATCGGCATAACGGAACCGGATATCGACAAAGGCCACGTCTACGAGAACCAGAGCATCGTCGACGCGCAAAAGAACAAATACCAGTTCGATCCTAAAAAACATCAGGCCATGTACGTACTCATTACACACATCGTAAATATTTTAAGATTAAAATATAAAATATGAATTATTCTGTACTTTTTGAAAAAATAATTCAAAAAAAAACCTTTGTAAAGATGATAAATTTAGACGAATATCTTGGATACAGTTTCTTTAAGATTCATTATTGTAGTTTCAATCTAAGATTTCTAAACAATAATAGCTCACTATAGTACGGCTTAAAAATTTCAAAGCAAATTCTAAAACGTGTTATACCTGGCAGAAGCCATTACCCGCACTATGCGAGGTATTCCTATACAAAAATTAAATTTGTATTTAAATTATTAAAAAGATGCAAACTGTGAGTAGATAGATTTTCAACAGAATTTACATTTTGAAAAGCATTTGAGTAATTTTTGGTTTTAGTTTATTACAATATATTAGAAAATAAAATCATCTTTTTGAAAATACAGATTTATAATTTAAATCTATTCAAAATAACCAGTTTAACCTTTTGTCGTCTGACACTTTTATGTCACTATTTAAATTATAAAGAGACGTGAAACATACCCAAATACTTGTTGGTACTTTATATTGTATATAAAAATGATTTATCTTACAATTGGAAATACCAAGTGAGTATAAACTTACATTCAAGTAATACTTGTCACTTCTGTAAAGTTTTTTTTTATATTGTAACGAAAAGGAAAGTTGTATAACAAAATATATTCTCAAACATTTTTGCATTTAAAAAAAAATCTGCGAAGAATGGATATGAAAAACATCCCGGATTGATCTGTCATCAATTTATTTTCGAACCCCCAATATTTTTCGCGACCCCCACTTTGAGAAACATTGAAATAGAGGGATATTTTTGACCTTTGTTTAATACAAAATTCACTGAAAGGGAAAACATTATTTCACTTGATTATAAATAATAAATCTAAATATTTTGTATTTATTGCCGAAAAATTCGTCTTTCGATAACTTTGGATCTGTTATTATTTCTTACGTTCTGTTACAATTTCAAGTTAAAATGTTAACGTAACATTAATGTCATTTTAGTACACAAAACCATTTTTTTTTAAATTTTAAATACCGGTTTTCTTATTTTTTTTTTTTTTTTTTTATTTTACTAAATTATCCAAAAATACCGGTTTCTTACTACAGATTTAAAAAAAATCGACAATGCTTCTGTTTTGCCTCGCATTTACCTAAATTTACTTCGAGTGCGATTAATTTTAATTTGCGAGTGCGAAAGGCGATGATGATGGCTCTTTTTTTTTTCGTTTATGATGCTGAACACAATACAACTGGCCGAGCTGGAATTGTGTTTTCTCCTCCCTTTCGAGTGGACTGGCCTGTGTAATGTTATGAGGATAAAAACATATAAAATAAGGGCCCCGCGCGGTTTATGACCGTCGGCTATGTTTTCCGCTGAAAGTGGGCGGTTCTCTAATTAAATGCCTTTTGTTTTGCGAAGAAAAAGCGGAGGCGTGGCAACCGACCAACCGACCGCCGCTCTCGCCTATGCCGCGATTTATGACCGAAACCGCTCAAAGTTTATTAAGATCAAACAATTCACTTCGACCTTTCCACCCATTCATCATCCATTATTCATCAATTGCGTTACAGATAAAATAAATAAATAGATCTATAGATAAATAAATATGTGCCTTTCGCTTCCGCAACTGCTCCGGATTATCGTTTCCTTCGGAAAACCGCGAAGTTTGCTATAAATCTTCAACCACGAACAACACAGTAATTAACGATCCAATTTTATCTACTCGCACTTACAGACCACCACGACTACTCGTACATCCACAACAAAACCCAACTTTTCAAATATACCGTTGTTTTTATTTATACTAAAAAATATAAAAATTCGTATATCAATAACTAATAAAATTTAAAAATCTTCATTTAACATTGTTAATTAACATTTCAGTAGTCAAAGAAACAAATTTTATTTATCGTCCTTTAAAATTTACAATATATTTGTTATAAACATTCAATAGTTCTGAGAATTTCACAAGCTAGTTATCTATTTAAAAAATCAAGTAACGCGAGTAATTCCACAAGTAACTATAGTTACATGTTTGTCAACAAGTAACGTAAGAAAAAGTAAATCTTTTTTTCTAAATATTATCGTAAGTAAATAGAGTTAAATTACGAACAAGTACTTGTCCAAGTTGTACTATTTACCTAGTCAATATATAGCTGCAGAGATTTAATATATTGTGGGTGGATTTAAGTAAACTGAATTAGAAAAGCAGATTCCGGATTTAGCGTGGAAATTGCTTTATGGAAATCTCTTGCTTCTTTATTATTGTTCGATATTCAAATCCATAGCATGGAAAGTTATATGCCGGGATGCGCGAAAGATACGCGAATAATCTTATCTTTATGTTTATGCATACAGTTTGGAGGCCCTGAAGAACAGCCCGCCGAACAGCTGGAGCTTCAAGGAGCGACGATGGACGTGTCCTCAATGTTCTTTCGCTTACAACTCTCTGGTGGGTGACCACTGCGAGGTCTGCAGTTGCATACGATCACAGCCATGCACCATCACCGTCACCGAAGACAGGAACACGGCGAGCTCGTCGCTGTCAATGTGAGTACAAAATCTTATCGAGATTCCTCCAAAATTCCATACTTTTGATACTACAATCTCACACATTTTATATATACTTACAATTTTTCCTCAGACAAATGAACAATCCAGTTAAATCACCACTTGAGAATTATTAAAAAAATCAGTAATAATCGTTGGAATACTAGAAACTACTCTAAAATTGAATACAATGCGTGTCCAAATGTTGCACTTCGAACTATGCATTCGTAACTAGTTACTCGCACTTATCAGCCGCTCGATTCATCTCATCGCTAGATAAAATTCGCGTTTACTTAATGATACCACGTATGCACTTTTATTTCCTTATATCGTAGTTTGCAAAAAAAAAAAACATGTTACAAATGTTGCGTACTTTTACGCATTTGATGAATTCCATTGTACTCTTAATACGCATCAAATACAATTACTATTATCTCCAATGTTTTCATTAATTTTATTGAAAACGTGACTTACAATTTCATATTTTATTAGTGTAAATCCGACATTTTATTACTTACACGCGTTTTAATTGTACTTATAGTTGTTGCAATGTTATCATTCGTAATTAACCGAGTTTAATGCATTCTTAAAGCAAAATTACCCACTGAAAAGACATTTCAGATCATATTAAGAGTATTAAGTTTGTACCCAGGTTAATAATTGCACGTTGAAGCTATTAGCAAGAAACTGCTGTATTATTTTCTCACATACAATTTATATCGCAGTTTGCAAAAAAAAATGTTGCGTACTTTTACGCATTTGATGAATTCCATTGTACTCTTAATACGCATCAAATACAATTTCTATTATCTCCAATGTTTTCATTAATTTTATTGAAAACGTGACTTACAATTTCATATTTTATTAGTGTAAATCCGACATTTTATTACTTACACGCGTTTTAATTGTACTTATAGATTTTGCAATGTTATCATTCGTAATTAACCGAGTTTAATGCATTCTTGAAGCAAAATTATCCACTGAAAAGACATTTCAGATCATATTAAGAGTATTAAGTTTGTTCCCAGGTTAATAATTGCACGTTTAAGCCATTAGCAAGAAAGTGCTGTATTATTTTCTCACATACAATTTATATCGCAGTTTGCAAAAAAAATTTGCGTACTTTTTCGCATTTGATGAATTCAATTGTACTCTTAATACGCATCAAATACAATTGCTATTATCTCCAATGTTTTTATTAATTTTGTAGAAAACGTGTCTTACGATTTCATAATTTATTAATGTAAATCCGACATTTTATTACCTACACGCGTTTTAATTGTACTTATAGATTTTGCAATGTTATCATTCGTAATTAACTGAGTTTAATGCATTCTTGAAGCAAAATTATCCCCTGAAAAGACATTTCAGATCATATTAAGAGTATTAAGTTTGTATCCAGGTTAATAATTGCACGTTTAAGCCATTAGCAAGAAACTGCTGTATTATTTTCTCGCATACAATTAATATCGCAGTTTGCAATAAAAATGTTGCGTACTTTTACGCATTTGATGAATTCAATTGTACTCTTAATACGCATCAAATACAATTGCTATTATCTCCAATGTTTTCATTAATTTTGTAGAAAACGTGTCTTGCGATTTCATAATTTATTAATGTAAATCCGACATTTTATTACCTACACGCGTTTTAATTGTACTTATAGATGTTGCAATGTTATCATTCGTAATTAACCGAGTTTAATGAATTCTTGAAGCAAAACTATCCACCGAAAAGACATTTCAGATCATATTCAGAGTATTAAGTTTGGATTTAGATTCAGGTTAATAATTTTACGTTTAAGCCATTAACAAGAAATTGTTGTATTATTTTCTCACATACAATTTATGTATTTGCGTACTTTTACGCATTTGATGAATTCTATTGTACTCTTAATACGCATCAAATACAATTACTATTATCTCCAATGTTTTCATTAATTTTGTAGAAAACGTGTTTTACGATTTCATAATTTATTACTGTAAATCCGATATTTTATTACCTACACGCATTTCAATTGTACTTATAGATGTTTCAATGTTATCATTCGTAATTAACCGAGTTTAATGCATTCTTGAAGCGAAATTATCCATTTTGATCATTAAGTTTGAGATTGGTGGATTTGAATCCAGGTTAATAATTTTACGTTTAAGCAGGAAACTGTTGTTCTGCATATTATATTTTTTTTTTGATGTGTTTGTGTTTAAGTAAATCCACAGTGAGCATAAACGCGACCTACATACTAGTTCTGTAGAATACGCAAATAGTACAACAATCGTATTCCTGTCCCAAGGTTATTTATGAATACAATAAACAGAAACAGCCTCTGTATAAACTGTAGTACTCCGGGTATTATTACAACCATGCTGTTTCAGAACAACCAACATTACATTGCTTTAATATACGAACCCTTTATTGACATCAATATTAATAAAACATTGAAATCTCCACAGAAGTTAATATAAATTTTACCTTTTCTTTATTAAAAAAAAAACATAGAACATCATAAACTATACCAAGTATATTCAAGTTTTTGATATAATTTACCAAATCTATGTACAGTATTCTTAATATATTATAAAATAATTTAATCTCTATTTTATTGATATTGATTCAATATTTCCCCAAGTAAAATACAAACAAATTTTTAAATATTTATTAGTATTTTTTTCAACAATATTAAGATTATTTTTGTTTTAAATGTAAGATTTGTATATGGAAATGTAGCAGATATTAATTAACCTTGAGAATCGGTAATTGATATTGGGCGAAAGGAAACACCGAACTGGCGCTGCACGAACAATAAGGGTCGCAACACGCACCGTTTGGAATGCAACACGCACTCATGAAAATTCCAATATGAATTAACATTTTTTTCTATAAAATGTTGAAATGAAACATATTTTTCAAATTTGTTATAAATTCTAGAAACTTACACATCTTAAGTCTAATAAGTGAAAACAATTTTTTGAAAGTACACATTTCTTAGAATTACATTTTTTGGAAGTATTTCAATGATGCAGTTTCATTTTTTTTAAATTAACATTGAATTATACTTTAGAAAGTGCATACATCAATTCTTTAAAAATCAATCATTTTACAACTAATGATTCAATATTATACAATTACTAAATTAGGAATTTTATATAGAATTTTGAGAATGTCGGTAAATCCGGTAAGTTCAAATATTTATACAAAATAAATACACGTTTGTTGACATTAGTTTATCTTTATTTGTATATGAATTCTCGGTAATTCTCTAAATAAAAATCGTTCACTGTTCCATGTTTTCACAGTACATTCGCATTAAGTTTATGAAGATTTACAACTGGAGTAAAGAGTGTATTTCAAATGTTTATATGAAATACATATTGGAGATGGTAACGCTTCGAGAAATATGTATTTCCAGTTAATATTCAACGCACATACACAATATGTAACATGCAATATGCTTTGCAACTCGAGAATGCAACTCAGCGCAGCGTTTTAATATTGGGCATGACTTAACTGCATCGAGGATCCCACTGAATGCGCCCATCCCGTTTCTCTCTCTTTCTTGAAGATCTCTCCCGAGAAAACCGCACTCGTAATATTAAAATACTCGAGTTGTATGATGGTGGAAATGCATGTAATTTGTTTACTGTAAAATGATCAATATCGGTTCCACCAATATCCCGGACTGTTTGAAACCGAACTAAAAATAAACCGCATACAAAGAGACAGAAAACTATCATTTATGTAAAAAAACAATAATTTTATATACTAATTTTTGAAAATTTATTTTTCCCAATTAAAATTTAAAGCTCTTTTTTTTCTTTTACTTTTCTAATATATAATTTATGATTGTTTCCTATAATTGCTTTCTATAAGTTTTAGAATAATTTTATACTTTAATAGTTTGTACGCTTTCGATTGTCACGAGTTTCCATGTAATAATAGTCAATTGAGTTTCACGAGCATAATTTAAAGTTGCTTCGTTTTCCAAGTTAATATTCTATCCAAATATAGTTCCACAAATAATTGATTAGTTTAGCACTTTGTTGTTGAGTGTAACCGGAGCAACGATTTGGTTTCGTTTATATTTTTTTTTAACGAATCAACTTTTTTTCCCCCGCATACTTAGTTTTGTTTTATCGAAGAAATGGAAAATTATTTCGTTTACCTCAAAAATAACTCGAGCTATACTTTATTTACAGAATTAGTTCATTAAACTATCTTATTTAAAATTAGGTGTTGAATTCTTTGATTTGCCTAATATCATGTTAAAAAACTATAGATATTTTAGAATAATCTAATTTAACGCCAGACGAAGCAAAAATTAAAAAATTGTATTTGTAACAATAATAATTAATATGCATAAAAAATCTGAGCATAGTTTTAATGAATTTGCTGATTAGAAGGTGGTAATTCCTCTTTCCTGGACATTTTCTAGATAATTAAGATACAATTAAAAAGGTGATGTAAGAACTTGTTGCAGTACATAAAATAAATTATAAAATATCGATTATTTTTTATTGAAATATACTATAAATCGAGGAATATTTGAATGTTTATGGTCCACTCTAAACCACTTACTTTCGATCGGAAAATGGGATTTAATATTAATGCTTGAAATTACGTAGCATAAAAATTTTTTGATGGCCGAAATTTTACATGTCATAAAGATAAACGCGCTCGAGGCAAAATTTTTGTGCAATTCGCGAATTAAACTCACTTTTATCATTGTTTGCGTTTTTATTGCCTGGAAATTCTATTAGCGATTAAAACCGCTGAACAACAAAAAAAAAATGAATTAATATAATATTATATTATAAAAAAGGAGTAGTGGAGAAGCCGCGGCACGCAGAAAACAATATTTATAGCGTTTTAAATGTAATTAAAACGTGACGTCTTTCGTAAAAGTAAATTGTCGTCGTGGGATTTTCAACCGCGGCGCGCTGTAATTGCATCAATTTTAAATGGGGGTGTAATGAACTTGTTTTTTTTTCTTCACCCCCTCTAGTTTACTTATTAATGAAGCATTTATGCAGTTAATTAAAGGGGGGAAGGGATGGGATTGCGACGTGTACTGGAGAAATCCAGTCCAGTTTCTTGTAGAAACAAGTGAGAACGGTGTATTTCATTTGACGCGGAGAAGAAGGTACAGAGAGAATACTGTATATAAGTTTGCTCGAAAACGTAGTTCTTTAATGCTAATTCCGTTTTTGGAGAGGGCACGTTATTACGTTAAGAAGTTCCATATTCCGTTTGTCAGTCAGACAGCCAGGATGCTCTCAACAATGAGCCGTCCTTTTCCTTTTCCCCTCGCGCCACTTTATGTGTGCATTCCCTTAATTTCATTTGCGCTGAAACACACCAGTCATCATGTAAATACCGCATCCTACCGCTGCAGTCTGCTTTCAGTTTAATTTTTGACAGAGCGACTTCCTCAACCAACCACTTTGATCAATGACGATCCCCCGACGTTTGTTGTTATACCATGTGTTTTGTACTTTAACTACTAAGAGTACAAACGAGACGTGTATTACAATAATAATGCAAGTAGAGAGACGAGACACGAGAATCGTTGCAGATGTTTCATTCATTCAATCCATTTTTGTTGGCTTCTTTTTTTTATTGTTTTCTTTTCGAACGATTCGAGGATGGTGCTATATCGGCTCCGCAGCATTCTTTGTTTCCATCGAGAAAGCCTGCTATTATGCAGTCGGTACACGAAGAAAAGTGGTATTTTATTATCCATTATTTGTTTCCCTTACCGATAAAAACCGCAAGTGCTGCAAACGGTTTCAATGGGAACGGCTGATATCCGATTTCTTCCAACTCGTAATATTTTTCTTATGTTATTTTAACATCAAAAAATTAAATGCACTTGCATTCTCAATACTAATACTAAAATCTTTACCAAATCTTCTTTGCAAATTATATACATACTTTGCTTAACAACCGTGATCGCCAACGCCAACTAGACCTGTATTCAAAAAATACATAAAAAGTACTTACAAAAGAAGTTTGAGTCATTACTTGGCAAGTATCATGTAATATATGGTTTTATTCTATATACTTGTTGAACTCAGCATTATATTTTCTTTGAGGGTCGACGCATTGTTCCACCTTTTTATTTGTATACTAATGTTCTAGAAAATGTCCAAGAAAGAGAAATTTCCACCTTCTAATCAGCAAATTCTTTATTTATGCATATCAATTTTTATTGTTATAAATACATTTTACAAATTATTTTTTTATGTATAGAAATTAGGAATTTCTGAAAGAATTAAATCATGCAACACAGAAATATTAATTAAACGTTACCTGTTACGAAAGTGACCACTATATATTTTAAAAATGTAGTCACGAATTTGAATATTGAATATTTTTCTTTCTATGAATTTGTAGAATTCATCTAATCTAATTATGCAACACGAAAGTAAATATTGTTTATCTGCATTTCATGAACACGTCTATATGTTAACTATTTCTCGATGATTCTTGAAAAGTCGATTGCGTGAATACCATTTATACGAACTTTTTTGTTTGGAATAAAACGTTCGGGGAATGTCCATTCCTTTTATAGATTTTTTTTTTCATTTCATATATATTAAAGCAGCGCATTTCTAGTGCATGCAACGACTTATATTTTATAATTCCATGCATATATTGGTTTTCATAGTGAACTTGAGAAAATTTCAATTTATCATTACAAATCATATGAGTTTACTTTATTTAAATAAATAAATAATCTAAATCTAGTGTTTCTCAACCTGTAGCTAAATGAAAAATGACTAGTGAACAACTGTTAACAATATTTATAGGTTGCGCGACAAAAGGGTTGAGAAACGCTGATATAGACCATGAATCTGTTTTATGTGAATATTTTTAGAGATATATTTCAGTTTCAAATTATTGTAATGTAGTGTATAAAATAATAGGATGATCCGTGACCCGAGACTTTTCTATTTCACAGCTGTCTCAGCACAGACTACGAATTTCGTAGTCTTCGCTCCCAAAGGGCGTAAGGTGATACAAGAATCACTGACTTTGACAAAAAGAAAACTATACTAAATCCACGTTAGTTTATATAGAGAAACAGAGCTTTAACGAAATTTAATAATATTATAAGTATCAGCGTTTAAATTTATAAAATATACAAACCTATTTCATAATAACTTTTTCCAGTTTTGTAATATAGAAACACTTTTACAATTCCAATTTGTAGGGCGGTTAAAACATATATTTGGTCCAAGTATAGTTCCTTAAGGTACACACATTTAATAAAACTATAGTTTATTAAATGAAATAAAATTTAAGTTTATTCTTAAAAACTTGAAGTTATTTGAAAGAAAATATCATTTATTAATTTATAAATAAATATTTCTTAAATTCGTATTTAAAACACAGTGCTTCAAAATTAACTTAGTTAAACACAAGTCACTACTCGCACATCAAGAACAATCGAAACTGCACTAAATAAATCGGACAATTGTATAAATTAGATTTTTATTAAATTATTACGTTTCGCACTGATAAGCGATTAGAACCAAATAAAAAGTGCATCGATGATTGATTCCATTGTTGCGATTATCTCACGGTTTGGGCCATCTCCTTGTTCACTCAGGAATTCCTATTTTAGTCGTTATCGGTTAGTTACAGCAGAGTTTGAACCCTCTACAATAATGCTCGCATATTTTATTTGCATACATTTTTCCAAACTCTGTCCCTTATCTCGCAACGATTCCGAACTATATTAACCCCGCATTTGAATCGTTCCGAATCATTATCGAATCAGCAGTCAACGCGACACTTTCCATATTCAAATAACTCAACTATACAAATTAAATATATAAGATGATGCTAGTCTGCAGGTTAGCAATCTTTATGTTTATAAAATTGTTTTTATTAATTTCATCTCAATAATTTTTATCCTAATTGTTGAAGTTTTCTTCGTAAAATTCTTTCTAAAATTAGTTATTTATATTGTTTTTTTTTATGTTTTTAGGCCTCCAAAATGGGGCGAACCCATATCTCATGTGCCTATTGCAACCCTCGACCAAGGGCTGGAAGACGATTTTCAAATATTACCAGGTACTTTGATTGCTAGCTAATAAAGTCTAGTTTCTTTTATTAAATATCTATTGTTGTTGTTGTTGATAGGTGATGACTCGACATTGGAAGATCAGAGATGGACGTGCAAGAAATGTACTCTTGTGAACAGCGGCAAGGCCATGTCGTGCGTAGCCTGTTACGGATCGAAATTGAAGTCGCTGACGATCGCAAACGATATGACGTTACGGAAGGGCGAGTTCTGGTCGTGCGTGAAATGCACCTTGAAGAATCCTCTGGGTCTGAACAGTTGTAAAGCGTGCAAATCGGAGAAGACGTCCTGCTTGGTCGTGCCGCCTCCTGCACCGGGCTCGAGGAGTCCATCACCCAGACATCAAGGAAACAAGAGGAACAACGGCTCGAGAGTTCTTTACGCGAAGATCAATTACGCGCAGAAGGCGAAGAATAAGACGAAAGTGAGTCTGGTGAGCGACAGAGATCAGAGCCCGTCCAGTTCGGTTCAACTTCAACAGCATATCCAGATGGTGAAGCCGTGGCAATGCATAACGTGCACCTTCGAAAATAGCAGATCTCAGGTGGTGTGCGATATGTGCATGAATATAAGACACGACGTGCTGGAGACGCCCGAGCAGCCGAAGCTGACATCCGATGAAATCGCCAACAAACATTGGCACTATATAGTGAAATACTGCAAACTGAAGAAACAGATCTACGTGGATGACACCTTCCCGCCGGCTCCTACCAGTCTTTACTACAATCCTGCCGAAAACAAAGACGCGCACGTCGTCAAGTGGCGGCGCCTACGCGACATCAATTTTGACGATGATCCAGACAAAGATCTGCCGTGGGCCGTATTCCGCAGACCCCTACCATCGGACATATCGCAGGGTGTCTTGGGGAATTGCTGGCTGCTGAGTGCCTTAGCCGTCCTGGCTGAACGGGAGGACTTGGTGCGCGCCGTTCTCGTCACCAGAGAGCTCTGCGCCCAAGGAGTCTATCAAGTGCGCCTCTGCAAGGACGGTCACTGGACGACCGTTCTCGTCGACGACTTCTTCCCATGTGATAAAAGAGGACATCTGTTCTACTCTCAGGTGAGCAAAATATTTCCCATCCGTTCATTTTTAAACATAGAGAAGATTATCGATTTGAATCTACTAGAATCATCGTAAATATTTTTCTAATCCATTGACGCAAATGATAATTTTAATCCTCCGATGATGATACTCCATTAACCAACAAACGAAATTATTCACAAACAAAAATAAACATAGAACACTAATTTCAAAAAATAGAAATAGGAAAATTAATAATTTTATATATGTTATTTTAAATTCTTCCTGATTATAGAGGTGCGTATAAAAACAACGCTTTTGTTGTTTTTCACGACATTTTTAGCAAATCTAATCTTATGCATCTTGAAAAACAATATGATTAAAAACTAATTTTTAGATATTATTATTTCTATACTATATATTTTTGTTGTATATACGTTATCATTACTGAAATGCAAATATTACTGCATTGGTTTCATATTTCAAAGTTTATAGTTCACTTTACAAAGATGTTGGCTAATACAGTATTCATGAATTTATTAAATTGCGTGCCATTTTTATATATATGGAGTATACGGTATTTGGAATATCAAAAAATATATGGATGAAATTTTAATAAGTTTCTAAGTTAGTATTTGCTCAATATTAATATACTGATGTTTTTTGCAGGCAAAAAGGAAACAGCTGTGGGTGCCTCTGATCGAAAAAGCCGTGGCGAAGATTCACGGATGCTACGAGGCTTTGGTATCTGGAAGGGCGATCGAAGGTCTTGCCACTCTAACCGGAGCTCCGTGTGAGAGTATCCCGCTTCAAGCTTCCTCAATTCCGGCTCCGGCTGAAGAGGAACTGGATACCGATCTCATTTGGGCGCAGTAAGTATTCAAATCAAATTGTGAAATGAACGTTATCTAATATATTTTTTAACTGTTAACAGACTTCTGTCGTCCCGACAAGCAATGTTCCTGATGGGTGCCTCTTGCGGTGGTGGTAACATGAAGGTGGACGAAGCCGAGTACCAGAGATGCGGACTGAGACCGAGGCACGCGTACTCTTTGCTGGACGTGAGGGACATCAACGAGCACAGACTACTACAGCTGAGGAATCCATGGGGACATTACGTGTGGACCGGAGATTGGTCCGATGATTCAGAGCTATGGACCGGTGAGCTGAGGAATCAGCTGATGCCTGATGGGCCACAGGACGGCACCTTCTGGATCTCCTTCAACGATGTCCTCAAGTATTTCGATTGCATCGACATTTGCAAGGCCCGGAACGGCTGGAATGATGTTCGAATGTCTGGTATTTTACCGCCTCTGGCATCCCAGCAGCATCTCTCCTGCATTCTGTTGACCGTTCTCGAACCGACCGAAGTCGATTTCACACTCTTCCAGGTAAATAATAATAAATAATAAAATAAAATCAATTTATTTTTAATCGTAAAATTCATTTACTAATATATTTTTATGTATATTTTAGGAAGGACAGAGGAAGTCTGAGAAGAGTCAGAGATCGCAATTGGATCTGTGCGTTGTCTTGTTCAAGGCTCGCAACGGCTCTCCTCCGAACATCGGAGCTTTAGTTGAGCACAGCAAAAGACAGGTTCGAGGATTTGTAGGGTGCAACAAGATGTTGGAACCCGGTGAATACATCGTCGTGCCGTTAGCTTTCAATCATTGGCACACAGGTCTCGAAGAATCCTCCGTGTATCCAAGGTATTTACTTATATTATTCGAATGCGTAGAAAGGATTTAACAGTTTTTCTTTTGCATAGATATGTGTTGGCCATCCATTCATCTAAGAGGGTGATGACGGAGCAGATGGCGCCTCCGCAACATATCCTCGCGGACTCGATAATCTCCCTGACTTTGGCGCGCGGCCAAAGGCACGAGGGCAGAGAAGGAATGACCGCATACTATTTGACCAAAGGATGGGCCGGTTTGGTTGTGATGGTAGAGAACAGGCACGAGAACAAATGGATCCATGTGAAGTGCGACTGTCAAGAAAGTTACAATGTGGTGTCGACCCGCGGTACTTTAAAGACTGTGGATTCGGTGCCGCCGTTGCATCGGCAAGTGATAATCGTTTTAACTCAGTTGGAGGGAAGCGGTGGCTTCTCCATAGCGCATCGTCTGACACACAGATTAGCCAACTCACAAGGCCTTTACGATTGGGGCGCACCTGGAACATCACACAATCCTGAGCTAGACTACCAGACGAGCGGTCTTCACACGCCTAGGCTCATCACATGAGCCCCAACTCCCATCCAGTGATATTAATTATACAGTTAACAAATACAATGAACAACAAGCAACACTATGCGAAAAGAAGCATAGCGTGCAATGTTTCTGCAATTTTAATTAATTATTTTTTTCGAATCTCTGTTCATTTCTTTATTGCGATATATGCATTTACGTTTTCGTCTGCACCGCATCGACTCTGCATTTATTTTATTTTAATTTAATTTATTATTTTTGTTTAACGAAAAAGACTGATTTATGTTTTTTTCTTCAATGTTATTTTTTGTTTACAGTAGTAATTATTTATTTCTGTGCACGTTCATTTCGCAGCCGATCAGTCTGGTTAGCTAAGTGCGAAAAGCGGCGAGGATTTCCGAAATTTTCCCATCACTTAGGCAAAGTCTAAGTGGCTCGCATTAGTACAATGGTTTGATTGCAGATGCAATCATTTTGTTTAGAATTTTTCTTCGATTAGTAAAAACCTCGTCGCCTTTCGCGCACTTTCTTCTATTATTTATTAATTGTAATCTCATCTTGTACCGTGAGAGACTGCATGAGAGTCCGTTTACTTTTTAATTATTTAATATATTTTTTTATAGTTACATTTATTTTTTGCACCCCCTTTTTACATATGATTTTAGTTTATCTTCTGGTCTTCCGAGAGTTTAGTTCTGTAAATTGTAATCACCAGAATAAGTTCAATTCGTACTGAGTGATTCATTCGTAAATCTGTCACTGATTACGTCTATCTCGAGTGGAGTGTATTATTAAAAAAATAGATTTTCTTTTTGGTTTGCTTGGCCCGACCTTGATTCATGTTTTATTTGTTGATATTGGGATGAATATTACTATGTATATAAAATATATACAAAGGAAGGGACATGGGTCTCGAGATTTTTAACCATGGCAGAATCTCAATCAAGGATTTAAGAAATAGGAACTACATTAAGTGCCGATTAAAGGTCAGACGATGATCGTCTTAAAACTTCAACAAAAAAAAACTCATTCTGAAAGTGAATATATATATATATAAGTAAGGATGTTATTATTTTATCAGATATACATATTAATTACATTCGGGAAATATGAAATATTTGTTTTGTGTAATTTACGACCAATATCGATAATTGTGTTATTATTATTAGAATTCTTCTTACTATTATCTTAATTACGTTTGCAAAGAGTTGTGTTCCATGAAAAAAAAAATGTCACACTTTGACACGTGTTCAATCGAATGTATGAGGAAAAGATGAAGTAAAAAAAAAACATTATGTATAAGGATGAAAAGAAATCGTTTAGGCATAGGCGTATAATAAATATATTTAATGAAAAAAAAATTATGAGAAGGTGAAACAAGAAATAAACAATATTTTAGGAGAACACCTAATTTATAAGCACATAGAAATTCAAAAAAATATATATATATATTGAAAGGACGATGAACATGAGGTGATTTTGATTCTACTTTCTTAACGGTTTGCGTTCTTTTGACTTGTTTTGTGTAAATACGAAAAGACGCGGAATCAGGGTAGGTCCTAAGTTTTTACATGCGAGTGATGATTTATAGTTTGAGTACATTCCTAATAGCACCGATCGTTTCGCTGTATTCGACTTCATTGAGCCAACAATGGAAGACAAGGTGTTTTGAAGTCCCATCTTGAAATCCATCATTCCAATTTTATTTGTTTTTTCTTCTTCAAGTAATTGAGACAATAAAACGAAACCGAAACATCTTGTTTTCTCCTTCAACAGTTACTTGAGTTATCCAACGGCTGATATAAACAAAGTCTACCTTAAAGAAATACAAACAAAACAAAATAATGGTGAGGATGTTGTGTTCTTATCAGTTTTATTTAGACTTTAAGATATGCAATGTATTTTCTATATATTAACAATCAAATCAATCGTGAAGGATTATGAGTTGTTTATATTAGCATATTATTAAACGCTTCTTATAGAAAGAGGAAACCTGTATGAAGAATTGTGTGTATTGTTCAATAAAAATGACATTAAGCTTTCAATTATTTAAAAGGAAAAGTGTATAATATTTAGAAAAAAAAGTGTAATAATAATTATTATATAATCATTTGCGCAAATCGGTTATTTTGAATACGATCTCGGAGAAGAGTGTTCTGGATTCCCAGGAGAGGACGTCCGTCATGCTGCCCATTTCGTTTATCGCTTCTTCATTTAAAACCATCCTCGACCTCTGGATCGTATCGACGATGCAAGACATGTTTTCCTCTGCCATGATCACATCCAGCGGTAAATTTTCGGTGAGTGTGTTCACCAAATTCCCGAAACGCTCGACCGAATTCAAGCCAACGTTATTCAAGATATCGTTCAGGATCTCCATTAGGATCTCCTTGGACTGCATCACGATCTCTTCATCAAACTGAAATTAAACTCGAGTTAAAATACAATTCTACAACACTCTTCCTACGTTCGCAATTACTTCGTTATCTTCGATCGAGTACAGCTTCTCCGCCGTTAATTCTATTAAGCTCTGCTGATCGTCGGTGTGCGGAGGCGGAATTGCAGCCAGGATGTCCGAGATTATTTGCTCCACGTCGCATTTGTTCATCACGTCTGATATCACCGACTTCAGCAGCTTAATTACCGAGTTCTTGTCGATTTCCCGATCGATGTTATCGAAGAGCTCTTCGATTATATTAATCAGCACATCTTGTCGCAATTTAAATCTGCAAAATCATAATAAAGTAATGGTGAAACAGAAATAGAAAAATCAACGAAACACGCACGCTTCTTTATCCTTCAAATCTTTCCAATACTCTTTAGCATACGCTTCCGTAAACTTGTATTCCTCCATATACTCCCAATCGGGAATCACACTCTCCTCCTCTTCCTCTTCTTCATCGACTTCTTCAATTTGAATTGTCGGAGGATGCTCCGGTTTGATTGTGTATCCCTTAGTCCGATACAACTTAATCTCAAGTTTCAACGTCTAAACGTAAAATTGAAATTTAATAAATTCTAAGTATTTGTATTGAAAATCAAACCTCGATATCTCTTTCCTGGTCCTTGGCCACTTCCTTAAGTTTATTGATATCGCTTTTCAATTTATTCGCCATTTGCACGACGTCCTCGAAATTATTCCTCAGATCCGTCTGATGTTCGATGATCTTCTCCAAATCAAACTTTTCTTTAGTAATCATCGTCAATAGATCAAACTTTATCGTATTCTCTTTGAAGACTTGCATCAGATGCTTCTGCTTAACTTTGTGAATATCATACCAATACTCTAGCTCCTTGATGAACATTGATTTGATATCAATCATCGACAGTTTCAAATTGAATATAAGCTTCTTGAGCAGAAACTCTTGCAATTCGTCGATATTAACGGGACCTCCGAACTGAATGGTCATCTCATCTGCGATTTCCCTGCGAATGCTCTTCATCGTACTCTGCATATGCGAGAAATCCACTTTCATCTTCATCAGATGCTTCACGCTAAGCTTATGCTTGGAGCGCTGCTGCACCGTTTCCATATACAATTCTCCAACCCTCTTATAGAGATTGCTCAAAGTGTGTTTAGAAAACACCAGGGAATCTTTGATTAAATTCATGTTTCCGCGCTCGGAAATATTCTGAATTTGGTCCAATCTCAGTATAACCGTGCACATGATCTTATTCAACTTGTGCTGCTTCTCCCTTTGAAACGTGTCCAACTCATCCTGGCTTCGCTTCAAACTACTTTGAAGTATCTTCGCCTGTTTCGTATAAGTCTCAAACTCTTTCTTGTGTACATCAATTTTACGAGTCAACTCTCTCACTTCCAATTCAACACCATGTCTTTGGTTGCGTAGTTGGAACGTTAAATCGTAGATGTTCGGATCGCAACCCTTCGGACAAACATTTTCGTCTAATCGGATTATACCGAAATCCTTCGAATCCAAACTCTCCGCATCCGCATCTTCAGACTCCTCGGAACTCGAAGATGACGAATCCGAGTCCGAATCTAAATCAACATTAAATTAAGTTGTTTTTTTTTTGTTTCTATAAAATTATAATTTGAGATTATACCGGAATCCGTCTGAACCTTTGGAGGCTTATACTTCTTCTTGAATATGCGCCTCAAAAAGTCAAAGAACTTATTTTCAGAAGTGGCGCTCATAAAGTTTCTCTGGATTTCCTTCTCCTTCTCTTCCAGCTTCGAAATATCTTTCTTTGCCACCTCGATCTCAGAGTTCACCCCTTCGATTAAATCTTGTATGTCCATTAATTCGATCATATTCGCATGGACCTGAAAGTATAAATAAGCAATCGTTTTGTAATTATAATCAATCCCTAACCAAATCAGAAAGCGTGTCTTCTTTAGCCTCGCAGTCCTTCAGGATTAGAAGCTCTTGATTCAACGTGAGCAAATGCAAGGTGACCAGATTAGAATCCACCGAGATTTCCATTCGTCTCAATCTTTCGTTCTGAACCTTCATATCGAACTCCTCAATCGCTAATTCCATGTACTTGATATTCTCGGCCTGGTAAAATATCATTTTCCTATAACGTATCCTCTTCAAGCGAGTTTCCCAATCAGTTTCAACCTCCTTTTCCTCATCGTTAACATGAGGCATTGTTTGCAAAACTTCTCGCTCCAACCGATCAGGTATCGGCTATCAAAATAATAAATTTACTGAGAACAAATATGAATCATTCAAGAACCTACCATTCTTGGAATTAAAGTTTTCTCCTCCGGAACATTTACGGATAGAATAGTTTCCACGTTGACCTCGAACTCTCTATCCGGAAAATCTTCCTCGAGGGTCATGTGAAATAGATCAGGACCGAAGCACCAATCCTTCTCGTCGATTTCCTCGTGAATTTTGAGCAAAGCCTTCGTTTGCCTTTCGAGGAAATTTAGCAGTTCCTTTTTATCATCTCTCAAACGATAAACCGTCTCATTGAAATCATGCGATAAATTGTAATGCTACAACAATATTCATCTTAATAGGTTTTCCTTTTTGTAGAAATATTCTTAATTACTCTTTCTCGGACGAGTAAAAGTTCTTTATATTTTTTGAATGTCGACTCGCGGAGATGTCTTGGTACTCTGTAATCCGGCGCTGATTTTAACTTGAAATCACCGATGGTGTCTTCGGCTTGTTTCAATGTAGCTACATCGTCAGCATCTGATGAAGCCACTGTTGGTTTGGTCGCGTTAAATGCTTCCCACTGAAAGCATGTATTAAACATCTTAAGTATCAGTAAAGAACAAATTATTAACAAATGGCCTGAAATAGAGCAAAATTTCCGCGTTAACAACTTAATTGACAAAGAATTCGAAATTTCTGATGATAATACATTTCAGTTAGATGAAAACTATGAAAATATATTTGATTTGTTATATATGAATAAAATTGAAATTGTATTTGAAGAAGAAGTTTTTCATGATTAAAACTTATTAAGAATTATCTCCAATCTACAGTAAGCCAAGAACGTTTCACATCATCAAAATTCTTTAAATTTTAATGATATTATTTTAGATTTTGCGTTGAAAAATGGCGCTTTTGCCATGCGCAGCACTTTTTGAATACGACTCCACAAAAGTTTACGCAGGCCCTGATTGGCCCTGATTATGTGCTTCCCTTTGCCTTCAGTTCGGTAAAATAAAGCCGATGCGTGCCCATTTTACTGTTGGTGTTGGTTGGTATTACATTTCTCCATTGTGTTATTGGGTTTTCATCAATTTTCATCAGTTTCCATTGAAGTCCAGTGAAGTTGTATTTGTATCTGGTCCCTGATTTCATCTTGAGTATAATAATACTAAATAAAATCAAATTGCTATTGATTTGCAATAAATATAATAAAAATGTCTCATAAAACCCTGTATTATACTTGGGATTTGTTTTATAGAACTGAGAAACATGTTGTCAAAAGCAAAGAAGAAGTGCTTATCTGCTTTGTGCATTTTATATTAATTACCAATGGGTTCCGGTGTATTGGCTTGGGGGACTCCAAATCATTTGAAGGCAATGAACCAAAGAGCAGAAAACTCCCAATCGGATGGAATGATGTGTTGCAAATGCGCTATGAGCATGAGGGAAAGCTGTACCTGTTTCTAGTAACAAAATTGGATGAAAAAAGGATCTTGATAAACTTGATTAGACCGCATGATAAGAGTGTGAGTTTGATTGAATTGAAAACATGCTCTGTAAGAAACATGTCTGGAATATTGGATAGACTTATACCAAGTTATAAAGAGCTCAATGAATATGTGGTGGAACAGTTCATTGACAAAATGAAGAGCAGCAAAAAAACTAAAGATGCAACATGCCAGACTGATGTATCACTAATGGGTCCTGTTGGGAGGTGCCAATTAAATTTTATGTGCACAAGGCCCGGTGGTTGGCAGTATACTGCAGAGGATGTTGAAAGGTTCAACATTCGTCGACTTATCACTAGAGTCCCTAGAGCCCGTCCTCTCAGGAATCTAAACGTGGACTAGATCCTGTTTAATTTTTGTATTGCCTAGAAATGATTCAAATGAAAAAAATTATAATTTTCGTCATCTTATTTATTTAAAGGTGGGGGACTACACTGATCACTGATCTTTTCTACATTTTCAAAAGTAGACAAAAATTTCACTGAATTTTCAAATAAACATGAAATAGGAAAGGCAAAAAAAATTCTTCTATTTAATATATAGTTTATAAGTATCTTGTGTTCTTTTATAACTTAATTTCTTAATTGTGGTTGTTCAAATCCTACTGTGTGTTTTGTATCTTTTTAAAAAAAAAATTATTAAAAATTTTAGAATTTCATTTGGTTCCTTAAAGCTTTATATCTTATATAATATTAATGAAAATAGGAATTAATGACTTCTCTGCTTCAAAGAGTTAAAGAACATTTATTTATTAATATAACTTGGATATTAATAAAAGACATTGCTTAATTCAGGTTAATTGAAGGTTTCCTAAAGATTTATATAGAAAATGTTCAAAATTTGGCGCTTGTACTTGTGGCGCCGTTGATGTACTAAGGATTCGATGACTGCGCCATCGCAGTGGCAATACAACAAATTTTTCATAAGACTTGGTTAAACGGATAGCAATGACATTTCATCTTTGAGTATAATAAAAAAAATAAAAGTAAATTCAAGTGTTTTGCAACAAATGTCATAAAACATGTCTGATAGAAACGCAATTTTTGGTTGGGATTTGCTTTACAGAAGCGAGCAACATAATATCAGGGGCACTGAAGATGTGCTTATCTGCTTTGTGCATTTGGTATTAATTGCTAATAGGTTTCAGTGCATTGGCTTGGGGGACTCCAAAACATTCGAAGGCAATGAACCAAGGAGTGAAGCCCTTCCTAATGGTTGGAATGAAGTGCTCCAGCTACGCTATGTGTTTGAGGGAAAGCTTTACCTGCTCTTAGTAACAAAAATGGATGATGGGGTCATGATGAATTTGGTTAGACCGCACGATAGGACTGTGGGTTTGATTGAATTGAAAGCAAGCTCTGTAAAAACGAGGAATGGATCATTGGATGAAATGATACCAAATAATAAACAGCTTATCGCATATGTGGTAGATCAGTTCATTGACAAAATGAAGAGCAGCAAAAGTAAAGATGCAACAAGCCAGACAACTAGTCATCAACAGAGGAGGATTTTGTTGCAGCATTCAGATATGAATATACCAGTTGGAAATCCCCACCCCATTCCATTACGTATTGATCCTGTTGGGGTTGGCCGTGCGGATTTGGACCCGCTTGCAGGAATGGGAGGGCCAAGGTTCGGCGGTTTGCAGTTTCCCCCACCTGTAGGAGGTGGTGGAATGCTATTTCAACCCCCAAGAAGACCGGATTTTGAGAGGCATAATTTACCGCCGGGTGCCATTCCGCCCGGCGCTAGATTCGACCCTTTCAGGCCTCCAGATGCAGACAGGCCTTTCAATCCACGCCGTTACCCAGACAACGATGAGATGCCTCCACCGGGTTTCGACGATATGTACATGTAGTTTTTACGGTTGTTTATTATGATGGATGCACTATTTATATGATTAGTAATAAGCACCATATATTGGTCTCTCATTCCGATATTAAGGAAATTAAAGTATTTATATATTGAATTTTATAATACCGGGAGCAATGGCATTTCATTATTGAGTATATAATAATAAAAAAGACTTACTTCTCTGGCTCGATCCTCCCGAATCTTCCGTCTCTTTCTGTATTTTCCGAGAACCCTAGTTATCTTTGGTCCCAGTCGATATTTGATTATCTCCGGCGACAATCCAACCAAGAAGTACTCCAGGTGTTGAACATCTGCAGCTGCTGATACCGCTTTGGTAATTGTAGCTGGAGGTCTCTCTGGTGCCCTAAGATCACATACACATCATATACATATGCGTTAAACAACACTAATTAAATTAAAACTAGAGTTTACAATACATAAAGATAGTCCTTCCTTAAAAACTACAATATTACTAATTTAATAAAGTTACGTAAAATTAAAACAATGATAAGTTCACAGTCGGATCTACAACTTACGGTTTCTTTTTGAACTTAGGTTCCCTAGATTTGGCTGCATTTAAGTACACGAAAATACTTTATATTATAGAGCAAGAAAAGTAATTTCAAAGTCTAACTAACTTTGGATTTGTTTACCTGCCTTTTAATTCCGCTTCTGCAATTTTCAAGTCTACCTCAGCAAGCAGATTATCAAAGTCGTAGCCAAGGGAACGCATTGGTAAACACTGCACCATCGTCTTCGATTTAACGGACTTCACTGTGATCGGATACATGTCCAGACTGAGCAAAAAGTGCTCCCTCATCTTTGTCAATAGTATATTTGATTTCTCCACATCGAAAGCCAATTTTCTCTCCACCAAATACTCGTCGGCCTTCAGTTTTTCATCTAGATTGTCTGTAACCCTTGAATCCAACTCGAGTTCCTCAAGAGGAATACGCTGTGACTCGGGAAGCGCGTCATTTCGAGCCAAAACGTCTTCATACTCTTCACGTAACCTTTCCAATATCTCCAAATAAACTGAAAAGATTCATTAACGTTGTGAATAATAATAATGGAATACGTACTGTCCTTGTTGCAATTGGCTACATCGTTAATTCTATCTTCTTCGGCTTTGACGATGGTTTCTTCCAAACTCAGCATTTCCTCACAGTCTATGTCCTCCACGGCTTTGATCACATGCTCCTCGGGGATGTGTCTTTGCATGTGTATCTCGGAATCGTCAGAGCTCTCATCCGAGTAGAAGCGAAACGTAAAGATGTTACCATCGTGCCCGCATGTTATGAAATACGAATCGTCGTAGCTGAACTGCATTCCGGCTATAAATCCGTTAAAATTGTCGTGCATATTCAGCTGCCAATAATTGGATAAATTGCGCCAGTTCTTGTGGTTGTTGCGATTCACGCGAATTGAACCATCCTCCATCGCAAAAATTAAGTATTCTCCATTTTTACTAAATTTAAAGAAAATAATTAGATCTATCTATTATAAATAAGGATTATTAATACCTATATGCATAGTTGTTAATTTCTATATCATCTCCGTGGTGTATTAAGGTGAATTTGTAAGGAACCTCTTCGGTCTGGCCAATTTTGTATTCGTAGATGTAACCAGCATCGTAACCACCCACCGACAACCAAAGAGTATCATCAGCCGTATGTTGAATCCACAAAATCTTATTGGGTATTTTAGGAATGTACAATGGCTCTAGAATTTCTTCGCTTTCCGAATCAACTGTAGAAATACATTTGAAAAATAAAGGTAACATTTAAAGTGTAATATAGTAACACACTAAGAAACACCTCTTCTTCGATATCAAGACCAGGATTTTCTTTTCTAAACTTTTCGAGAGCTTCCAACTTGACCAATCTCTTGGCCGCTTTCTTTGCTGCTATCTCCTTCAGCTTAATATTTCTTCGGATCTGCGCCTTGTAACTGGTGAACTTCTGAATTATTGGTTCAACGTGGAGTATGTATGTTATGGTAGTGTAGTATTGCGGTCTCAATGGAACCTCCACTGTCATAATCTCACCGTGGATGCAACCTAATATGATGGTATTATCCTTGAAAATGACAAATAACAGTAGAATACATATCGCAGAATAAGAAATGTTTACCAAATCTTTATGCCAAGTCATGCACACTACAATGTCAGGTGTAGGAATGAAACCAATTGGTATCAATTCCATGTATCTGTAACCGTTTCCTTTTATCACTTGATAGACAAACATGGTCGAATCTTCGGCTGCTGTAACGAAGATGTTACCAGGACGATTTAATTTCATCATCGTAATGCGAGAGGTGTGGGGTTTAGTTAACTAAAAACTTAAAGTTAAAGTAGATGATTTTACTAGAGCGTGATTAAATCACCTGAATTACTGACAGTTTACTTTCATTGATTTCTTCGGATATCTTCAAGATAACTACACGCACCGCTCCGTCAGTTAGTGAAACTATTAACACTTCCCCAGAAGGATCAATCTATAAAATAAGTGTTTTATTGTTATAAGAGGACTTGAAAATATTCATGCTTACATCCAGTGGAACCCAAATCACGCAGCATCCCATCGTGGGGAAAGGATGGATCAGGAGAAGAGTTCGAGTAACGTAATTATATAAATGCAATCTACCGCCGTTTCCCAAAGTGCAAAAGTAATTACCCCAAGGGCACACCGACAAGGACTCCGCTATACCTGCGTGACATTTCAAGAGTCTTTCGGATTCGGCTATGTTCTCAGAATCCGTGGACAAATCGATTCTCCAGATGCCACCTTTGCCATCCTAAAAAATCAACAAATCACTTCGGAAATAATCAACAGAAATAAATGTAACCTGTGCAAAGTAAAACGTGTTTTCCGGATCTTCGTACTGCTTGCAGATGCACATAAACTCCGCGTTGGGAGTGTAAAAATCGTAGGTGGGTTCCATCTCAACTACGCGATCCTCGTCTGGAGGATCGGCTTGGTCGATGGTATCGTAATACCAGATCCTCACCCTTCCATCCATTCCGACCGTCCACAGTTCACCATCTTTGTAATCGATTTGCACTATTGGCCCTTCATGGCACTTCTTGCGACCTCTTCTAGTCACCTCCAGCTTAATCAAACCTTCGTCCCAAACCAGTATATTTCCCCAATAGCAACCAGAGATCACCTTAAAGAAATAATTTCATTAAATTTTCAAATTTGCAATAGGATTATTCATACTTTTTCATCTGGCATGGGATAGATACCGACGATATCCGAGTACTCTGTTTTTCCAAATCGGCCCAATTCGCCTTGCAACTTAAGCCCGGTAAAAGTCTTGGCCATTTTCCAGAACTTTATATGAGCAATCCCTGAAAGTAATTGTTAAAGCATCGAAAAGTACCAGATACATTTAAAAAATACCGCAAGACGTGATCTGTCCTGGAACTTCCGGAGCGAACATAACACTCTGCACATCGTTCACATAGGATTTGGTGCGTAGCAGGATCATCGATTTCGGCCAATTCCAAACGGTGATCATGTAATCCGGATCTCCCCCTTGCGACACCAGAAGCTTACCGTTCGGACTATATGAAGAAGCAATTAATAAAGTACATAAATTTAGTATTCGAATAAATCACCTGTAATCCAAATGCGTGTAACGTCTGGTCGTGCCTTCTTTCAGGACGCACATGATATCCATTGATGGCCACTCGTATATAATTATAGGAGGATTGATTCCATTCTCGGCAATAGCGATGTGCGGATAATCCGGATGGTAATTTTTCTACAGAAAAAAAAAAGAAACGAATTATTCAAAAGTGCGTAGATTAATTATATAAAACTCAACGGCGATGTGACCAATTCCTCCTCCATAGGCGCTCCTCCTGAACCAGACCTCCCTTGTTTCCGCATCGAAGAAGTGAATTAAATTGCCAGATGCAAATATGATAGTCCTCTCGTCGACGTTTAACAGGTTATATGGTTTCTTGCAATCGTAACCATAAGAATAACTATGATATAATTAAGGAAAGTTATACAAAAATAAAAAAATAACTATTCATATTCAAAATGTACATTTGTTTCTAGGACTAAATATACTGAATTTCTTTTTCATTCTATTATAATATATACATGTAAAATTGTATTTGATATTTCATCCCTTAACGAATTAATTATTTTATTTTACTGTTGTTTTATAACAACTTCTTTGTTTTTTTAAATAAACTTATCATCGCAAAAGGATACTCAAATTCTAAAATGTTCTCCTCGATGTCGCAGTTCTCGCTGAACCACGGTCTCGAGATGAAGTTCTCAGTGAGATATCGAAAGGGCAACTGCTGTTCGTAGTCGATGAAGTCACCCTCGAACTCCTCGTCGGCTGTCTGCAAAGTGTACCCAGTATCCGCTGTGATATCGTCGAAATCGCTCTCTGTTCTCGACATTGCGAAGAACTTGTTTATTATAATCGAAAGGAAACGACACTGTCTTCTTGACAGCGCTTCTAATATTATCGTGTAAACAGCCTACGGCTCTCCGTTTGATCCATGCAATTGCTTGGCAACGAACAGCTAGGTTTTGTATATTGCTCATGGAAACTCATTTCCGGACATCGCGGTCTTCCACTTTCGTTGGACGCGATATATTTCAGGAATTTCAATGCGATAATCGTTTCATCGAAATTGCATTCAAAGTAAGCTGAAAGTAAAGGAGGAAATTCAGTTGGGAATTCCGGCGCTATTCATGCATAACTGGAATTGTATAGACTTTTGATCCCGTTACAACATTGCTCCAATTAGCACTAATTCCTTTGTAAAATGATCAAAGGTTGGACAATTCAATTCAATTTCATTTATTTTTTTTAATATGTATTAGTATTAATAGAAACAAAATTAAATATACATACTGGCTACGGTTCTACTGAAAATTGCAAGACTACTGAATATTAAAAGATAGTCTTGGTCTACGGTGCTTTGAAAAAAAATGCAAGTCTCTCGTGGTCTACGGTATTGCCAAATATTGCAAGTCTACGGTGATAACTGAAATTTCAAAAGAGATAGACTAAGCCATGGTCTACCGCAGTGTTTCCCAAACTATGTTATCAGGTGTTAGATAAAAACCTGGATTCAAATTTCAGGATTTACGAAGTCTTTCGTTGCAGGGATAGTTTGGGAAACCTGGTCTACGGAGTCATAAAAAAATTGAAAGACTAAGTATTTTTAATAAGTACATTAACTAATATCAAATTTACGAAAAATAAGTTATTTATTCACAGAGCCAATATACAGTAATGTTTCATATTCAATTATGGAACAATAATCAAAAGGCTATTGACCGTAACGCGTTTGCCTACTCATTTACATTGAATTATAATTAGTTATTTCTAAATATTATTTGTTTCACATCCACAGCAAAGAATATTCATGACAGTGGGATGAAAGTTCTTTACCATTGAACACATCCATACCAAAGAGAATCAGCGCAACATTATTAAAACAGAGATAATTGTTAATATATTATCGTAATGCAATTATATAAATTGCAAGTACTTGTTAAGGTTGTCATGGAGCCTGCAAAATTCACAAGTACTTTGTAAGTGACGAATTTAGAATAATCGCAAATGCATTGAAATATTGTTTCCTTGGAAACAGTGTCAACTGTAAAAAAAACAAAGATGATCGATAGAAGAATTTGGATAACAATGTTCGTAATGGTATGATAGCGATACGGAATGGGAAAACTATTAAATCAATTCCCCGGATAGGTGCCGCACGTGACAAGTTTTGGGTCTATCCGATATTCGTCGATTACATAACGACATCGCTTCTGAATATTAATACTGTATGTTGAAGAAGTCATCTTCGTGATGACAACTGCTTGCTTTGCCAGACAGAAACTGTCCACTTATTGGGATTAATTGAGAAGCAAGAAATGCGGTGTGCTATTATTATGTGTGTAGGATTCGGATGTTGCATGCGTCTCGTTTGTTTCATTTCTTCAATATGTTGGACGTGACCGACAATACCACTGTTTCACAAATTACGATCGAGAAGTAAATAAATAAATATTTATTGTCCGGTGTTTGTTCAAACGCTTTGCGCAATTCGAAAACACTTGCACTTTATTAAAGCAACGATGATGGATTCGAGTAGGCATCAATTTCGTCATCACGGAAATCAATTGTTTTATATAAAATTTAGATTTTGTTTTTTTTTTTAATAAAAATCTTAAGTCACAATATTTGCTCAACCTAATCCAACTTTTTCAATTGTTATCATTGTGTACAATTTTAGTAAACAAGTATTTTTTTATACATTTTCTTAACAAAAATATTACTTGAATGCATATGTAATAAAATGTTTCTTTAAATATGCACCTAAAATACATTTGGACATCTTCAAAGGTAATTTTTCATTATTTACTTTACTGGATTATTAAATTTTATTACCGGTAGATGTTCTACATTTCTGCGAGACTATCTAACCTCTAGTTTATAATAAAGCTAAGATCATGTAAACATGCATAATGTAGCTATTGTTGATTGTGTAAACAGATTAGCGGCGTCGCGGCAAATCATTGTCCTTTAGTATAAACAGGGCCCCGATGTCATCAAACTTTGCTTCTGATTGCTGCAATCGTTTGCAAATCGCGATATCAGTATTAATAATGATCGAAGAGTCTTTCTGCAAACTCCATTCAGTTTAATACGATACATATTATCAAATGAAACGGACGTTTTCCAAGTTCAAAAGTTGTTGATTGTCCCTGCAGCAATTTGGAACGTTGTTAATTGACATTGTATTATCATCACGAAACCACAATTTCTTCTGTCCGGTAAATAACTTCTTTATTTATTTTATAACTATAATTGATAATATAAATATTCTTAAAAATCTAATAATAATTAAAGTTTCTTTAAACAATTCATGATTTTTAAAGCTTAAATGTTAGTTGCTTAGTTAAAAATTGTGTATTTATTGACGCCTGTCAAAACTTATTGTAACATTTTTTCAACGCCATTTAGTTTTTTTTAAATTTAAATATTTGTTTATAGTATTAATTAAAAATTAAAATGTCAACATGACAGATAAGAGATTGCGTGACTGCTTACAATAGTTAAGCAACGTGTATTATCATCACGAAACCACAATTTATTCTGTTCGGTAAATAACTTCTTTTTATATTATAACTATAATTGATAATTTAAATATTCTTGAAAATCTAATAATAATTAAAGTTTCTTTAAACAATTATATAACTATAATTGACAATATAAATATTCTTGAAAATCTAATAATAACTAAAGTTTCTTTAAACAATTCATGATTTTTCAAAGCTTAAATGTTAGTTAGTTGAAAATTTTGTATTTATTGACGCCTGTCAAAACTTATTGTAACATTTTTTCAACGCCATCTACTTTCTTTTTAAATTTAAATATTTGTTTATAGTATTACTTAAAAATGAAAATGTCAACAAGACAGATAAGAGATTGCGTGACTGCTTACAATAGTTAAGCAACGTGTTTCGCTGCCTCTTTTTTAAAAACAAATATAATAAATTATTTGGAACAGTAATAAATCTCAATTTCACTTCTATAAATTATTAAATCTATGAGTTTCTATAAGAAATATTTCTTTTTATCGTTCAAATTGTACTGGTTTATAATTAATGTATACAATAAAAGGATTTATAATAATAAAGTTAAATAATGTTTAAACTATTTTGACATTTCATCATTACAAATGAATGAAATATGTAAACCATTCTTGCTCTTCCGAAAACACTTTCATTTTTTTTTGTTGTTGACCGTCCGTTGCTACGGTTGAACGTAAACACGAAATAATGAATGAATGAATGTGTGTTATTAGTAATACGCAGGTGAATCATTCAACTTCTGAGTATTTCTCTTCTGCAGAATCGTAGCACAATCAGCGTCGCAGAGGAATCCGGTAGCAATCTCGCAAGATTTGATTCACACAAGAATGTATATGAATCAATATGTTTCTAGTGACGCAGAACAAATTAATAATTAATTAATGTGTTAATTAATTTTCTTTCATTCTTTTAAAGTGCAGACAAGAAATACTGTTATAAATGTGTGGAAACGAATTGAAATTGTTAAATAACATATAGTTTCCGTATCTTGAAACAATATAGGATTTAAAATATCTTATCATTAATTTAATATTTATATAAGCAAGTCAAGTGCACAACGAGAATTTCCAGACGTAATAAGAATGTTTCGTCTTTATGAAGAACTGGGTTTTAAATAGTTTGTTTTTTTGATTATTTCTTTTAATTTATGCTAAGAATTTCAGAAATACGAATTAATCTTGGTAAATAGAAGCGTTTTTCACTATTTCTTCATTGGATGCATTTTGTCAATATAACTTTTATTTTATATATTTATAATATCAATAAATATTGTTACTAATAAAATAAATAGTTCTATAAAACATTAAAAAATGTTGAGAAACTCTGCTTTATACTTGTATGATGATTGTCTTATGTATTTAATATATTTGGGGAATAAATTCAAAAAACTGTGGACTTTGATTTCTTTTGATATTCGATTAATACAGTTTAGCAATAATTTGCGAAAACTGTTGTTGTTGTTTTTTTGTATTGAATTTATTAAATATTGTATTGTAATAGAAAAGTTACATATCGATGAGTTAATGACCTTGCTAAAGTGTAAGTCAAATATTTTTGAAATCGATTCGTTTTAATAAATAGATTATAATTGGTTTCGCATACGAGTTAATTGTTGATTGTGATGCACGCGTTCCGTGTATTTGTGATTCATTTCCATAAAAGAAAAAAAAACAAGTTTATAATAGATTGTTGATTATAACTGATTTGTTAAAAAGTATTTTTAATTTTCAAGTTTTATTATATTTATTTATAAGTCAGAATTTACTTTAAAGTCTTTCTACAATAAGGGTAAATTTAGTTATATTATAGTAAAACATAATATATGTAGTCTAAAAGTTAAACAAGTGGTTCAAATGAAGGTACTTGGATAAGTGACGAAAGGTCGAGACGATTTTATATGTATATGTATGTTATGTATCATACTTTTTACTGTACAAATACTTTTCTATAATAATGAAAAGTTAATTATTAATTAATTTGAATTTAATTACCTAAAATCAGTAATGTGTATAAAATGATTTAAAAATAATTTACTTAACTAATTATTAGTTAAAATGTTAACAACGTTTATTTAAGTATTAATTACATTATGTGTTTTATGACTTAATTCATTAAACTTTTATGTAACCGGGCATTAGTTATCCAAACTTTTGTTAACGCTACTTGACGTTAAATTAAGATATGCATGTGACCTTTCATTATGTTTTATTGCCTGATTATTTAGTTAACTCAAATTTCATACAAAATTTTATAGAATTTATATGTGATTAAGGTATTAAAGACAATAGGGTTTACCAAATATTTGTTAAATGACAATTTTGTTTTGGTTATGTTACATAATATTATATTTACCTAGGTAACCTAATTGTTATGAAACATAAAATTTGATATTACATTTTAAAGAAGTAAAACATTAACAAAGTATTCAAACCATTAAACCATAAACTTCTATAAAAGCGTTTTTCAACCTTTTTTACCGCGCAACCCAACATATTTGCTTTTAGTACTGAGATCCA